CCTTGCACCCAATCGATTGAGGTCTTAATTTTTCATGTTGGCTAATCGTGTGCATGTTTTTTTAATTCTCTGGGGCCATGAAATAATTTCCTGCTATGATTGTTGTACACCAGATGAATAATCTTGGCTTTCTACCGCTACATTGTGCTTATTCCTTCCGCCAAAACGTTTGTTTTTTTGTTTGTGAGTGGACATAATAAATGGCTTGTAGTTTAATTGGTGTCTGCTCGGTTTGCTTTAGGCAGCCAGAAGGACCACTGAAGGCAGTTAACACGGAATTTTCAGTCTTCCCCCGTATTTAAAAATATACCCACAGCTAAGACAGTCTGATTTTAAATCATTTAAGTATTTTTTGGACTAGACATCAAAGGTATTACTCTTCATTCTGGTCGAGACTAGCGGAAGGTTATAGCTCAAAACGTTGGCCTCATACGCTTTGGGGGCAGCACACAGCAGCAGAGGACTTCTTCAAAGTACCTTTTTAAAACTCTTAGAGAGAAATTGGGAATAGTTTCCTCCGTTTTTGCTTCTCAAATATTTGCAAGTCCTGAACTGGCATGAAAGTCCGCCTTTCACAATTTATTTGGTAAACGAGGAAATTCGAATGTTTCACTCCGTGAAATCGATTTTCTGTTCTCTGCAGCTTGAAGCATTTTAATCGCCTTTTCGACTGCACTAAGTAAGATTTTCAGAGAAAATCAGTCGAAATGTTTGACGTAACTGGAAAACGGACTACGAAATTTAGCAGCAAGTATATACATCGATATTTAGAATTTCTGTTCTAATCTGACCTCTCGTTGTTTTAGGCGTGGATCTCCCTATCACTACAAGCCCTAAGCGAATGGACCAAGCAGATGATCTGGGGGATGAACTTCAACCCTTCGATGTGAGCTAAATTTCTTTTATCCAGCATTAGTTTTACCCCCCTTTTCTTTATCAAACTGGCACTGTTAGTTGAATACCGAACAAAGTTCTTTAATTTTGGTTGAGAATTCTTTCAATCACCTATGCATATCGCACTCATGGAAAAGAGCATTTTACACTCCCTTTGCATTCTTTCCATCGATTTGCCATGCTTATATACACTCAGCCATACGTCCTATAAAGAAAGTATAAAGTCCCGTCCCTCGTATTTATTTATTAGTAAATTTAGTGCCTGTAGAAGTTTGTTTCGATTTTACGATGGTTTAACCGGTGGCGTACCTGGTAGAACAAAATCTGGAATCTTCAGTTTGCTTCAGGTTTCATGCTATGTGCGTCCTTCACACCAGAATCATGCCACATTATGTTTCTTATGAAGTAGCCACCAGAAACTCGGCAGATATCACCATATGCATTAATCACGTTGTATGCTTTAAGAACGTCAGTTTTAAAGTTTGAAGTATTTGTCTAAAGTAATATTCATGCTAGATTGCGAAGTGATTTCGTAATAAGAACCTAATTTCAAACTGGAATGCTCAATTTCTTCAAGTCCAAGAAAAAAATGATGTGACTTTTTAGATGAGATAATTAACTTTGCGCATGCTTATATATCATAGAAAAGCGTGGGCTTTCACGGGTGTGGCTTAAATATGCAGCTGAAAATATGCTCAGCCAAAAGCCAGCATCTCACCGTGCATTAGTTAACTTGTTATTAGCTTCTGCATTAAAGCACCATAGCAACCCCGTCTATGCTATCTTTGTGCTTGAAAGAAAACTAAGAAGTATTAAGACGTTGGAGGAGTTTTGATGCTAACTCAGAAATCTTTTTATGTAACAGTCTTTTAATTATCATCATAAAATCATTCCTCGAGTGCTATCTGATAAAGTCCACGAGAAGGGTTAGTTCATCAAAGCATCAAGAAGCTCATGTTGCACAGTACTCATAAAACCTCCCTTTACTATTCTGGCTTCCACTAACAGCGTTTAACATGGCTCCAACAATTTTAGGTTCTAAATCATCCCGACAACAATAAATGAGGTATTGGGCCAACGTTTATATGTGGGTCGATTAGCCCACTTATGCACAAAAAATGTTAAGCGTTAGTTGGAAACCTTAGTAAAAGACATGCCGACTGAGCCAACGACTCCATTTGGGTGATGATTTATACATCGTGAATGAATTAACGGAAACCCTTCATAGAGCGCACATCTAGAAAGTAGAAACTAAATCGAGGATGGTTTGGCATATATAGGGGAGAAGACCAGTTTGGGTATTCCAAAAATTGAAACATGCTTGAGCGAACAATCTTCAAACGGGCAGTATCACTTGATTGGCTATATTTATCTGCGCGGAAGGTAAATTTCATAGCTTTGGAGTAAAATGCCAAATAGCCATTCAGTCAGTGAACAAAAAGTTTTTTCAAAACCGCAAAAAAATAATCCTCAAACTTCTGATACAGCCTCAGCTTGCATCTGTACTTTCATCAGTTTAAAGTTAATTTTGTTCATCTATGATCCAGGAAAACGCGTTTTCGTCGCGAAGGAAGCGTCGAACACTGGAATCCCAGCGTGAGTCCCTTCAAGAATTTCCTATCGTGAGCTCCTTAAATGATTCTCTAGCAAGCCATGTATACACTATTTAGCTGCACTTTGCGTATGTGTTCGCGCTTCAAACGAAAACCGATATATTGGCAAACAACGTGTTTTAATACAAAGAATTCAAGTCTACTTCTGCAAACAATCGATCCCTTTTCCGATATGAACTGCCAACGTACTCTAAACCAGCCTACACTTTACAACTGCTTATATATATCCCGCAGGTGAAGGCAAAAACAAGGACATGGGCAATGGGCCACGCGAGCGTTCCGCCTTCCACAGGCCAAGTGGGAAGTTTAGTCCACACAGGCATGAGAGGCCTTTTTTCGACTCGGCGGAGGCAGCTGCCGAAGACGAGACCGGAGCCCTTTTGTCGTCTGAGCAAATGGATCCCCTGGGAGACGACACATCCCGCCCTGGGCGTCGGCGTGTTGAATCGCAGAGGGGCGCAGAAGCGCCGCTGTCTACTGGCAACGTAAGATTGCGCCGTGACGCTCCTATCTACGACCGAAGACCGCAGCGTCGAACGTCGCCCCTTCTTTCACAGCCTACCGCCTACTACGCTTCAGATCATATATCCAGCTACCCGCCGGGCTTGTGCGCTGACGGTTTCTACCAGGACACGGACTGCTCTGAGTGTCTTGCCCGGCGGCTTTACTCTGAACGTGATATTCCGCGCGCGTCTTCCTCTCGCCGGCAGCAGGGTAGGTTATCGATTTTGATTCTAACCGGAGCTCGTAATGGCGATCCCACACCATGACTTTCCTGTTGCTATTGGTTTTTTTCAGTTCCCGTGTCGCCTACTTTTTCATATTTGTCTCGTCGTCTCCTCTCCCCTCTTTTTTTTAACCTCCTCTTGCTTTATAACACTTTGCAGCGGGCTACAACATTTATTTTAAGGGGATATACCTGACAGTTGCGGCCTACCGCGACATTGACTTTCACGTATATTTACATGTCGGTCGATGCGGCACGGACAGAGGTCAGTGTGCGA